GTGTGTGTGTGTGTGTGTGTGTGTGTGTGTGTGTGTGTGTGTGTGTGCGTGTGCGTGGCATGGAAGCTGCTTTTGCAGTCAGGCTCCACTTGGCGCATGTAACTTTAAGCTCTGCCTGCCAGGTTGTCGGACTACAATTCCTATCATGCGCTCATTGCGAGAATGGGACTCGTCGTCCGCGGGCGCCGCGTTGCAGAAGGCTTCTCCCCCCGCCCTGTATAATATGTGGCCTTTCCCTGCCTTGGGTTTTTTCCGCGCAGGCGCGATGTTTTTCTCTCTCTTTGCCGGCAGATGTCGCTGCCGAACAACTTCGCGCCGGATCCGCTCTCGGCGTGCCAAGCGTCGCGCCCAGAGCAAAAGCGGCAAAGCCAATCGCGTCCTAATCGTCCCTGGGCTCCGCCCCTCCCACTTCGAAGGGTTAACTCTTTCGTCGCTAGAGCGGAATGAGAAAAGGCCAATGGGAATAGTCGCCAGGAGTTCCACCGGCCCTTTCTGGCTCCGCCAAAAAGACTTAAAAGAGCTGGAAACCCTGCAGAGCGGGCCGTTTGCTGGCATTCGGGCCTCGGGTTCCGAGTTTTCTCCCATCAACGTTGCAATGGGAACGGATTTGAATTGAAAACTTGTTTTCATTTTTTTTTAGAAATAAATAGAAATAAAATCATTTCTATTGCATTCCCCCCCACGAAGTAAATAGGGACTAAATTTACAGGGGGAGGGGAAGAATCATACAAACAAAACAAAATTAAAACCAACCAGAATAATGTGCACTAATTTAATCTGTGGCTTTAAAACCCCTTTTATGAATGGATTCATTTTTTAGTCTTGTATAAAAATTTTAAAAAGCACAATATTCAATTGTGGTGTTTCACAATTCACTCCCAGAATTCCTTAATCCATCCAGGAACTTGGAGACGTGTGGACTTCACCTCCCAGAATTCCCTATGCAGGTGAGCAATTTTAGATTTATGCATTTATAGAATTCCCCAGAAGCATGCAGGCAGGAGGATTCTGGGAGTGGGAGTCCTCCCCTCTTAAAGGATGCCTGCTGGGGGATTCTGGGAATAAAGTAAAGTTTGTATATGTGTTTGTTTATGTCTGCTTGTGTTGGAAATGCTTCTGAGAATTTACCTTTGGGACATCAAGACCAACCCCCAGAGCTTATTTTTAGGGAACATTAAAAAAAAAAAAACCATGAAGCGGGTTGAATCTGTGTTGCCTGGGATGGGAGACCACTGAGAGATCTCCGAGTTCTGAATTAGAGTCAGAAGTCTAAAAAAAAAAAATCAGAATATCATGGTAACCCTTTTTGTCACATCCGTGAAGTTCAGCTGCTGAGCTTGGGGGGGGGGGGTATAATTTTACGAACTTTTCTTTCCCACATGCCCTAGGCAATCCTTGCAAAAAAATACACATATTTTTAAAATATTCATCAATATGCATAAATACCTGATCAGACTCATGATCCCAACAGAGGCAGTAAGAGCAGGAGGAAGAAGAAGGGCGCCCCCTGGTGTCCCTTTGAGGGAGAGGGCCGGTTTCAAAATGGGAAGAAGAAAAGGAATTGATCAAACGTGTAGGAAAAGAAAAGCGAGTGAGCCAGATGGGATCAGAGACCACCAGGAAATGCCTGGTATAGTTAGATTTGGCTGGGAAGGGAGAAGCCATCCTGGAAAAAGGGGTGGGCTTCCGCGGGATCATTTTTGCCCCCTGGTCTTCCAGCCAAAGCCCAGAGTGAAAAGTCCCCGGGCCAGCTAGGGAACTGTTGATTTCATACAAGGATTTGGCTGGGAATCGGATGGAGTACCACCAGGAAATCCCAGGGTATAGGATAGGAGGAGGAAGTCGAGAGCAGCTTGGAAAGAGGCAGGAGGAAACTCACTTGCATCTATCTGGCTGGCTGAGCAAACAGGAGGAACAAAGGAAAAGCTTGGAGGTGGGATGGGAGACCAAGAGGAGATCCTTGCCGGGGTTGACTCGCGTGGGAAGATCGAGGTGAGGTACAATCACCAGCTTTGCTTCCCCAAAAGTCGTTGTAAAGCAGGAAGCTCCATGGGTGTGTGGATTTCACACGAGGATGTGGATGGGAATTGGATGGAGTACCACCAGGAAGTCTCAGAGATTCAGGTTAGGAAGGACAGCGAGAAGCAAGAAAACTACTTGCATGTCTTGGCTGAGCAAATGGGTGGGAAAAAGGATCTGGGATGGGGGATCAAGAGGAGATCCTCTTCAAAATTGACTTGGCTGGAAGAAGACACAAGGATGTGGCTGGGACACCACCCAGAAATCTTGGGGCAGAGGCTAGGAGATGGGTTCAAAAACAGCTGGAGGAAGGTAGGAGGAAACCAGCCTGTCACTCCTAGCTGAGCCAACGGCAGAAAAAAGGTCAAAGTAGGCTGCTGGGATGGGGCACCAAAAGGAAATCCTCCCTGGGGAGATCAACGTGGCCTGGCAAAGACCAAGGTGAGCTTCATTCGGGTCGTGGCCGAAACAACTTGCCCGGCAGCTCCCCAAAACACACGTAAAGCAGCATCTTTGAGGTTGGAATGGGGGACCAAGGGGAGATCCAGTACAAGCGTCCAGCCAATGCACATGTGAAGCAGCCTCCTGAGGGCCAGGGGACCACGGGGAGATCCTCACCCCTGGAATCCACTTGGCTGGGAAGGGAGAATTCCAGATCCTTAGGCTGCATTGAGCCTCCAGTACACGTATCGTAACGTGTGTGAAGCAGCCCCATCCGGGCTAAGGTGGGGAGACGAAAGGGGGAGATCCAGTACCTGGAAGCCTAGCTACTCAAGCTGCATCGGACCCAGGGCTCCCAATACACGTGTCTCTAGAAAAAACACGTGAAACAGCCGCCTTGGGAAGGCTGGGAGGGAAGACCAAGAGGAGATCCCTGCTGGAGGGAGGGAGCGATCGACTTGGCCGGGAAGGCAGAATACACAGCCGGGCAAAACGGGGGATGGGTTTGGGGTGCGGAGCATGGGTTCTAGGTCGTGTGCGGCCGCCTCCTCGGGGCTGGGACGGGGGTCGAGCGGAGACCCTCTCCCCTGGGGTCCAATTGGCCGGGGTGCCCCGGCGCCGCCCCCGCCAGGCACCTGCGGAGGGGATCCGAGGGGCGGGGGATGGGTGGGGCTCCGGGACGGTCCTGGGACGGGGCGGGGCGGAGGGCGGGGCTGTGCCTATTTAGCCCTGCAGGGGGCGCCTCCCGGCGAGGATCCAGCAGCGCCCGAGGCTTCCTGGCAGATCCGCCGCCGCCGCCGCCGCCGCCCCGCCCGGCCCGGCCCGCAGCCCCTGCGCCCCAGCGACGCCTCCGCCTTCCCGGTGCCGCTGCCCGCCATGGCGGAGTGGGCCCCCGCCCAGGTGAGACCCCCGCCGGGCCGGGGGGAGGCGGGCCGGGGTCGCCCAGCAGGCCCGGCAGCGGGATCCCATTGGAGGGGGGGGGCGCGGGCGGGGGCGGGGGGGGGAATCTCCTTAATCCCCTGGGACTGGAGGGGCAGCGGAGGGGGGTCTCCTGGATGACTTGGGGGCGCCCGTGAGGGGGATCCCGTGGAACCATCTCCCGGATCCAAAGGCAGCGGGGAGAAGGCTGGGATCACCTACGGCAGCCGGGGGAGCGGGGGAAATCTCCCGGCTCCCCTGGGGGCCGTGGGGGGGGGTCTCTGCCGTGGGAGGAGGGGGAGTTTTGGGGGAGATCGAGGACCCCCCTCCCCAAAAACTTGCTCCGCAGCGGCATCCCCTCCCCCTCCCAGCCCCCTCCCCATCTCCCCCCTCCTCCTGCACGGCAGAGGCCGAGCCGGCGGGGCCGGCGGGTGGGCTAAGAAAGCCCCCCCCCCCATCCCCTAGGGAGCAAGGACATCCCCGTTCCCCAGGATTGGGCCCTGTGCCCGGGGCGATCCAGGGGTTCTCCCCCCACCCAAGGGATCCAGGGACTCCCCCCCCGCCCCGCAAGGGATCCAGGAGACCCCAATGACCCCAGGGATCTAGCAGGTTCCCTTCTCCAGGGACCTGTTTGATCCCTCTCCTTTGAAACAGCAGCGCCTGTGGGGGGGGCAGAGCCAGCGCCCCCCCTTTGAGGCCGGCTCTGCAAGGACCCCTCCCCTCCTCAAAGCGAACCTGGGTGTGATTCCCTCCACAACAGCCCTGCAGGGAAGGGCAGGCTTGTCAGAAGAGACTGGCCTGAAAACACACACACACACACACACACACACACACACAGCTCTGGGGACTCCATTCCCCAGAATTCCCAGCCAGCATGCTCGCATTGACCAGGGAATTCTGGGCCTCCTGACTTCGGTCCCTGTTTTATCACCCACAAGGCAGCTGGTAGATTCCACATGCAGGTAGTCCTCGAGTTACGACCACAGCTGAACCCTCCCCCAGATTCTGCTGCTAAGCAAGGCAGTTGTTAAGTGGGTTTTCGCCCATTTTACGACCTTTGTGGCTGCAGCGGTTGTTAAGTAAGCAATTCGGTTACTACTTAGTCACACGGTCATTAAGCAAATCCAACTTGCCACCCCCCCCCCTTGACTTGGCTGGTCAGAAGTTCGCCAAGGGTGTGTGTGTGTGTGTGTGTGTCACGTGACCCCTAGAGACAATGCGACCGTCATAAATGCGAGTCAATTGCCAGGCAGCAGGATTCTGATCCTGTGTCCCTGGGGAATGCCGCAACGGTGGGTCGTAAGTGTGAGAAACGGTCCTGAGCCTCCCTTTCGCAGTGCCGTTGCGAGTTTGAAAGGACCGTTGTTCAGCTGAGGGCTCCCCGCGGTTGGCAGTCGTCCCCTCGGGGCTGAAGGTTCCCCGGTGGAGGCCGCAAGCTCCGCAAGGCTGGTGCTCCGCAATGTCCTCCTCTTCCTCCTTGGTCTTCTCCAGCTCCAGGAATGGAACGTGGAAGCGCAGCACCTGATGCCCCTGCAGCCGCCCCTGGTGCCTGAGCTCAGCCACATGCGGGAGGCCCAGCTGCACACGGCCGAGGCCTCCCTCTGGAGCGTGGTGGCCACCGTCCAAGCCATGGAGAGGAAGATCGACCTGCTGGCCACCCGGCTGCTCAGCCTGGAAGGCCGGTCCGGGACGGCCGAGAAGAAACTGCTGGATTGTGAGAAGACCGCCATGGAGTTCAGCAACCAGCTGGAGAACAAGTGGGCCGTCTTGGGCACCCTCATCCAGGAATACGGCCTGCTGCAGAGGAGGCTGGAGAACATGGAGAACCTCCTCAAGAGCCGCAATTTCTGGGTCCTCAGGCTGCCCCCGGGGTCCAAGGGAGAAACCCCCAAGGTCAGGGGTCCTCGGGGAGGAAGGGAGACGGTGCCTCGAGTGGAAGGAGGAGTCCCGGGGAGGAAACGGTCCTCCTGAAGGAACCACCCTGGGCCTCGTCTCCGCTCTGGTGGCTTCCAGCCGTTGGGCTGGGACCGCAGTTGTGTCTCAGATGGGTGGGATGGGAATTGCCCTCCGGACACCTCTGGAGGCTGATGGACTCAGCCCTCCAACTTTTCCCACGGGGCACAAACCCTGATTTTTTTCTTCCCAAGTGGGGAGAATCTTAAAGAGCTTCCTTGAGACCAGACGTCCCCAAACTTGGCCACTTTAAGACTCGCGGACTTCAACTCCCAGAATTGACTGGCTTTAAGTCAGCTAAGCTGGGAATTCTGGGAGTTGAAGTCCGCAAGTCTTACAGTGGTCAAGTTTGGGGACCTTGCCTAAGATCCCCGCCTCCTTTAGATCAATCTACTTGCAGGGTGGTTGAATTGGGAGGTATATTTTTAAAAATGAAAGTTACAAACTAGGGATTTTTTTTTTAATGTATCTTATATTTTCTACCAATCAGTCATCAGTTTTTGTAATCTTTTGCTAACCAAATAATCATTAAACTTGAAATGATTTTTTTTTTAAATTAAAATATAAACTAGGAAGAAAAACTAAAACCTATTTTTTAAAAAACTTGTCGAAACACTGGATTCGCAATGAAATCATTTTTAGTTTAGTTTTTAGTTTTAAACTAAAAACGATTTCATTGCGAATCCAGTGTTTATTTTTTAGTGGCAAATTTTTTAATCCTAAAAACTGAAATCCTGAAAAGAAACAAAATTAAAGTAGAACTTCCGAAGGAAAAATTTTTAATGTATCTTGTTTATTTACGAATCGTCACTGGATTGAACTCACTTTTAGCCATTTTTAGGGGCAAAACAATCTTTAATCTTAAAAAGAAAAAACTTTACTTTGAAAAAGAAAAGAAACTTTAAAAATTAAATATAAACTAGAAAGAAAAATACCAGCCTGCTGCTTATCAGTCATCACTGGATTCGCTTTGGGTAACTTTTTTTTAGCAAGGAAGCCAATTTTAATTTAATTGAAAAATTTAATTAATAACAATCTGGGAAGGATGTCTGTGATCCTCTAATTTTCCTTTCATCTTTTTTGCAAAGTTTTTCAGGGAAGAACCGGAGCGATGTGACTTCATGATTGGGAAGGCATGAAATATTGAGGGTCTGGGTGTGAAATCCACCTTTTGCCTTTCTTGAAGTCTTTTGTTTTGTCTTGTTCTGTTTCATTTGCAGATGCCGGTTACGTTTGTGGACATCGCGGTTTATTTCTCCGCCGAAGAGTGGAAAAATTTGGCTGATTGGCAGAAAGACATGTACAACAATCTTATGAAGGAGAACTACGAATCCTTGCTAGCACTCGGTATAATCAGGTTAACCGGCAGACCGCCGGTCTCTTTATATGTCCTTACTGCTAGTCCTCGACTTACAATCCCAATTGGGATCGGAACGTCCGTTAAACATTGCAGTTCAATGAGTCATTTTTGCCGCTGGTTGTTAAGTGAATTGCCGCTGTTGTTAAGCGAAGCACAAGTTAAGCGAGTTTGGATGCCCTTATCTGATAATTTAAAGTTAGAAGGCTGCAAGTGACAATAGTGGGACCCGGGACTGTGTCATCATCATAAATAGGAGTTAATGGCAATCAGTGACCCCAAGAACGCTGTGACGGTCACAAGTGCGAGGATCAGTTCTAAGTCACTTCATTTTCCCCCAGCACCATTGGAATGTCAAAGGGGCACTTTAAACAAATGGTTGTAAATCAAGGACTATGTGAAGGTTCATTTTTTTGAATTTTTGAAGTATTGCAGGTAGTCCTCGACTTACAACAGTTCGTTTAGTGACTGCTTGAAGTTACGACATTGACAAAAGTGACTTTTCACTTGTTTTTCTCTCTCGTGCCCGTTGTAGTATCTCCGTGGTCACATGATCAAAATTCATACCGGTTGGCAGCTGTCTCATATTTATGACAACTGCCGTGTCCCTGGGGACAAACGATCCCTGTAACCTGACAAGCAAAGTCAATGAGGAAGCCGGATTCGTTTAACAACCGTGTGACTAATTCAGTAACTGCAGGGATTCACTTAACGACCGTGGCAAGAGAGGTCTTATGCGAGGGCAAAACTCCCTTCACAACCATCTCTCTTAGCAACGGAAACTTTGGGCTCCGTCATGGTTGTAAGTCAATAACTGCCTGTATTGGTGGACCGGTGGCTTTTTTCAGGTGGCAACGGCAACCCTGCAAGGCGGGGAAACCCAACGGGGGGAGCTGAGATCCCTCTGTGAGCCGCCTTTTTGATTGTGCCCCCGTTTTCCAGGCACTGACATCAACATCGCCAAACCCGAGATGCACCCCAGGGCCGAGCGGGCAGCGCCTGAATCCAGCGTCCCGGAGCTGCCGAGCACGAAGGAGCGCGATGTAATCCCCGTGCCTTGCACAGGTGTGGAGGGAAGGGATCAGAGGGGTGGGGTGGGCTCTGGTTTGGAAAGGGTTGTCGGGTTGTATAGGGTCTCCTGCTCGAGCAGGGGGCTAGACTAGAAGACCTCCAAGGTCCCATCCTACTCTGTTATTCTGTCATTCTGTAAGGGTTTCCTGCTTGGGCAGAGGGTTGGACACCGAGGTCCCTTCCAGCTCTATCCCGATTCTAAATTGTGAGGTTTGGGACGCACAACACACACAATTAAAAAAAAAACACTTACTTTGCAGAGTGCTGGAGATGAGATCCCACAGCTTAGCAAAACTAACTTTGTTCTGCTTTTCTTCCTTTTCTGCTGAGAGTTTTTAATCTCTTATCTTCCTGACTTCGTTCTAGTTTACCTTTTCCTTCCTGCCTCCCTTCCCAGCCAGCTTCCCCTGCCCACACACACACACACTTCTTTCCGTCCTCTCCTGCTTTCTCCCACCACGACTCCCTTCTTCCACGCATTACTCTTTCCTTCCCTTTTTCCCCCCCTTCCCTGTCATTCTTTCCTTCCTTCACTCTTCCCTGCCTATCTCCATCCTTTCCGTTTTTCCTTTCTCTCTCCCTCCTTCATTCTTTCATGCATCACCCCCCCACTCACCCATCCCCTCACACTTGTGACTGTGTGACTGTGTGTTACTTGTATCCTTACGATTTATACTGACTGTGTCCTTGTATGATTGGATTGCTTATTGTACCCTATGACCGTCATTAAGTGTTGTGCCTGATGATTCTTGACTCTTGACGGATGTATCTTTTCTTTTATGGACACTGGGAGCATTTGCACCAAACACAAATTCCTTGGGTGTCCATTCACACCTGGCCAATAAAGGATTCTGTTCTGTTCTATTCTATTCTATTCATTTCTCCTTCCTGCTTTCCCTCCTTCCTTCCACCTCCCCTTCCACTCTCTTCTTCCTTCCTCCTGTGGGTGGAGGAGGGTTTGGGGCTGGCTGCTGCCCTCTGCCCCACGTGGGGGGGGGGTCCTGGGCTGCGTTTCCAAGTTGCCTCAGTCTCTCCTCACCTCTCCCTCGAACCCAGGACCCTTGGCCTCCACGCCGGATATCCTGACGCGCATCAAGCAGGAGGGGGCCTTCAGCGGAGGAGGCCCCTTCTCCGAGGACAGAGGCCTGGCGGCCGATCCGTGCACAGGTAATGGGCGAGGGAGGGGGCTGCCGTTGGGGGGCAAAACGGGGTGGGGGAGGCGGATTCTGACCCTCCTGTATAGGTTGGTGGAAAAATGGCAGCCACGAGGCAGAGTTTTGACAGCGCGGGTGCTTTTAAGGTCAGATATTTTCAATTTATGGCAGCCTGACCCATTGAAGGTACTAGGTGGCTGGAGGGAACAGCACGGATAGAATTTCACCATGGCTTGTTTCGGTGGCTTAATCTACCGGGTGGCCCAGCCTGTTGGTTTAAGCAGGGTTCAAGCTCGGCCACTTTAAGAGGGTTGGACTTCAGCTCCCAGGATTTCCCAACCAGCTGAACTGAAGTCCACCCCAAGGTAGAGAAAGGCTCAGTTCAGTGGGGCGAATTGAATGCACAAGGCCCATCGCTCCCGGGTGCAAACAGGCGTGATTCTGAGACTCTGGGTGGGTGGTCTTGCTTGGTGGGGCTGGTGTGTTTCTCTGGGCTCTGTCCCCTCCTGCGTTTTGGGGGCAAATCCCTTCTGCGAATTGAGCACACACACACACCCCTCTCTGTTCTCCTGCAGGTGCCCAGGGGCTCATGTCCGCCCATGACTTCCTATCTTGGATTAAGCAAGAAGATGATCCGTGTGTCCGACATCAATGGGACGCGTCAGAAAGCGAGACCCTCCCTGTGCACGTGGGGCCGGGTGAGTCCTTGACCAACTGCCCCCCCGCCCCCCCACATCAGTGGGGTGCTATTGGCTGCAGGGCAAGTAGTCCCTGACTTACGACCCGGAGTTGAGCCCAAAATTTCCCTCGCTAAGTCAGAGACGTTCGTTAAGTGGATCTGTCATTACACGGTTGCAATTCGTGACACTTTTTGGATAGTTTGAACGCACCCAACACCCCCCCACCCCCATATGGAAGAATGAGATTGTGCTTAACGGCCATGGTAAAAATGGTCATAAAATCAGGTCTGACTTGACTTTACAACCGCAATGAGTTGTGATAGAAATTTCGATCTCAGTTGTGGTCCTAATTCAAGGGCTACTTATAAAGCAGCCGTTTGCCACCCTTGGCCAGGTGTAGGCTTTGATTCCCAGAATTCCTTCTTCACTACTAAGGCTAGTTCCTAGGCGTGGCTGTAAGTCAAGGGGTGCCCCTTTCCCTTTATTCTGGTTTTTGCCATTTGAAATACGCCAGTTTGGGAAAGGCCAGGGGGCCCTGACGCCTGAGCTCCATCTTGTTATAGCTTAAAATTGTGATCAGGCGCCACCTTGTTCCAAAGAAGTTTTGCAGATTAAGCTTTTTTGCCTTTTGCCTCTTCGGCCTCGTAGGTTTGAATGTCAGATATATTAGCCCATTTGCCGATAATTTCTTCTTTCCAGTGTTTTGGGTTCCTTTTGTTTTCAGAATAAGAGGCGGGCGTAAACAGATTGCAGTGTTGGGAGAAGGTCAGTTTTTGCATCTGGCGACGACAGGATGTCAACAATTTTGGCTGGGAAAATTGAAGGTTTTTGAATCCCAGAAAAATTTCTCAATTAGCCCCATGGGATAAACTCAAGCAGTCTGAATAACTGGTGGACAACTTGGCTCCCCTCCCACCGAAATAATTTGTCATTTTAAGTGGTTCTCTCAATGCATTGGATCAATTTGGGTGGGCTGAACTACAAATACAGCTAATCCTCGATGTATGACCACAATTGAGAGTTGATTTTTTCATGGGAAGCACGTCTGATAAGTGAGCAACATTTGCTCACAGTACAGGTAGTCCTCTACTTATGACCACAGTGGAGCCCCAAATTTCCATTTCTAAGTGAGACATTTGTTAAATGAGTCTTGCCCCATTTTAGGACCATTCTTGCTGCAGTTGTCTGAAAGAAAAAAGCAGAGTCCTCACACTTATGACTATTGCACCATCCCATGCCCACATGGCCACAATTCGGGCAAATTGACAACGTGTCGCAATGATCTATCGTTATCTGATCAGAATTCCTGACGCTTTTGGGATACTTTGCCCCCAAAGCCACCTGTTTGGAACAACGAGATTGTGCTTACGACTCCGGTTTTCACTTAACGGCCGTAGTAAAAATAGTCATTAAAATCAAGTCTGACTTAACTTTACAACCACAATGACCTGTGATGGAAATTTCAGTCTTGTTTTCCTTCATAATTCAAGGACTACTTATAAAGCAGGTATTTCTCTTTTTTTGTTTTTTGAATTTTTTTATTTTATTTTTTACCACAAAAACAACAAATAAAACCATCTTTCAATTTTAAAGCAGGTGTTTCTCACGGATTAGACTTTGATTCCCAGAATTCCCTGCCCACCACGCCTGGTTGGGGAATTCTGGGAGTTGAAGTCCCCACGTCTTACAGTAACTGAGTTTGAGAAACACGTCTGTCATCCTTTCTATGGGATTACAATGGAACAAGTAGTCCTCGACTTACAACAGCTCCTTTAGTGACCGTTCAGTGTTATAGCGGCCTTGAAAAAAATGACTTACGACACTTTTTCCTCACTTTTTCCTCACACTTTTTCCTACAATCTATGCAGCCAACCCTGAGATTGTGGGATCAAAACTCAGATGCTTGGCAACTGTTTCATACTTATGACCAGTGCAGTGTCCTGGGGTCACGTGACCCTCCTTTTGCAACCTTCTGGCAAGCAAAATCAGTGTGGAAGCCAGATTCACTTAATAACCAGATTGCTATTTTATTAACTGTGGTCATTCACTTAATAACTCTGGCAAGAAATGTCATAAAATGGAGCAGAATTCACTGAACATATGTCTCGCTTAGCAACTGAAATTCTGGGCTCCATTATGGCCGTAAGTTGAGGATAACCAGTACTTTGGAGCACTGCTTTGGAGCAGTGGTTGCCAACCGGTGGGCTGGGGACCGCTGGTGCTCAGCAGAGAAATGTCCCCCCCCCCCAAGCAATTAATCCAGGCTGCGCAGGTACACACGGCTGCGCTGCCCACATGGCCCGCCCACCCGCTGGCCCCCACCCTTCGGCCGAGAGCAAACCTTACCTTGAGTAGAGCCAAGTGAGCTGGAACTGGAAGGTAAGACCAACGGGAGAGGGAAATCTGCCCCGGGGTGGTTTGCTGACGTTGGCGGGAAAGTCGGTCCCACATTCCAGAGCTGCAGGAGTCCCAAGAGTGAGCAGCTCCTCCAGTCCATGGCAGGCCGGTGCACTTAGGTGGGGGAGCAGCTCCTCCGGGACGACCCAGAGGGCCCGTCCTGTGACTCCTGCAGCTCTGGAACGTGGGGCCGACTTTCCCACCCGCGTCAGCAAGCCACCGTCAGCCAAAATTCATAGTAATGGTCCGCGGGATTTGAAATGATGAGTTTGGTGGTCCCCGAGATCCCCAAAGGTTGGCGACCTCTGCTTTGGAGAAGAGCTTGACTCCCTCTCCTGTGTGGCAGACCTTCCAATCCTGAAATGCTGCTCTCGTGCCAACCCCCGAGTCCTCCTTTTCTTCTCCAGACGGGCCAGACCCAAATCCTGCGGCTGTTCTTCCTGTGTTTTAGCCTCGAGGCCTTGGATCCTCTTCGTTGCTCTTCTTTGCACTTTCCCCCCCCTCGCCCCCCCAAAGTCTCCACCTCCTTTTTGTAGTACACTGACCAAAATGGTTTGCAGGATTCCCCGTAGGTATGGCCTTGCGAGGGATTTACGGAGCAGCACTAATTCTTCACGTGATCTTGACTCTGAGCCTCTGTTTATACGACCCAGGATGGTGCGAGCTTTTCTGGCTGCTGCAGCACACCGCCTGGCTCAATGCTTCAGGGATCATCCACTAGGACTCCAAGATCCCTCTCACTATTTTTAAGCCAGGTCTGACCTAATCTGTACTTAAACCTTTGGTTTTTTTTTTTTCTTCTGCCTAAATGTAAAGCTTTGCTTTTTTCCACATTAAAATTCATTTTTTTGAATAGGGCCCATTGTTCAAGTTTGCCAAGATCTTTTTGGATCCTGAACGTAAGAGCAATAAAAGCAGCCCTTCGGGAACTTTAAAATCCCAAAAGCAAAACTTTATTAATCATTTCAGCACTTGAAGAAAAGCAAAGACGGCTCTTAAATTTCCCGCGCAGCCCTGCAAAGCTGAGTTTCATCCCCTCCTGCCGTTGCCCAATTGGGAATCAGCCTTTTGTTTTGATAACGGTGCACATCTTGGCAGACATTTGCAGAAGTGTCCTTGGTTCTCACGGTTGAAGACTGAAGCCTCCACACTCTTATCTCACCCTCCCCCCCTCCCTTTGCCCTTTGGCAAGTTGAAAAATCTAAAACGTATGAAGGACAATTACTGGGGCCATAATCTAGTGAAGGAGCAGGGAAGATACGATATCAGCGTTCCAATATTTCAGGGCTGTCATAGAGACAGATAGATTAACATAGTTGGAAGTGACCTTGTAGGTCACCTAGTCCAACTCCCCACCCAAGCGGGAGACCCTATATACCATTTCTGACAGGTGGCAGTCTGGTTTCTTCTTGAAGGCCTCAAGTGATGAAGCTCCCACAACTTCTCAAGGCAACTTCTGTTCCATGGGTTGATTGCTCTCACTGTCAGAAAGTTTCCAGGTTTAACCTCTCCTTGTTCAGTTTCCATCCATTATTCCTTCTCTGGCCTTTAGGTGCTTTGGAGAATAGCTTGACCCCCCTCAAAGATTGGAAGATGCTCTCCTGTCCCCCCTGGTCCTTCTCTTCCCTAGACTAGCCAAGCCCAGTTCCTGTAACCGTTCTTCAAATGTTTTAGTCTCCAGTCCCCTCATCATCCTGTTCGCTCTTCTCTGCACTTTTTCTAGAGTCTCAACATCTTTTTTATAGTGTGGTGACCAAAACTGGATGCTGTATTCTAGGTGTGGTCTATAGAGGAGGGGGTCAACCTGTTTTCCAAGGCACCTTTGAGGGCCAAACAAGGAACAATGGATGGAAGCTGATCCAGGAGAGATTCAACCTGGAAATAAAGAGGAATTTCCTGACAGGGAGAACAATCCACCCATGGAACAGAAGTTGTCCTCGGAAGTTGTGGGAGCCTCATCCCTGGAGGCTTTCAAGAAGAGGCTGGACTGCCATCGGTCAGAAATGGCGTAGGGCAGAGATGGCTAACCTTTTCAACATTTGAGTGCTCAGAATTCATGTGTGCGTGCGCATCCCCAGAACACAATACATATGCATTCCCCCAAGTATGTGCCCTGTGCATGTGCCCTGCCCTTGCACACACACACACACACACACACACACACACGTCCCCTGTGCATGCGCCCTGCCCCCCACACGCGCCCCACCCTCTTTCACATGTGTGGCAGAGACCCGAAGAGCAACTGGCTGGCAGGAGGCACGCATGCGCAGCAGAGCTGAGCTGGGGTAACGGCTTCTGTGCCCACAGAGCGGGCTGTGTGTGCCACCTCGGGCACATTCACCATCATGGACCGTGGTGGTGGTGGATTGGACTAGATGACCTACAAGGTCCTTTCCAACTCAAACTGACTTAGCAATAATAGTCACAGGAAGCTTGAGCATTTTCCAATCTTGACACATCATTTGTTACTCAACCCACAACTTGTCGGCTACCTTGCAGCTTTCTACATTATTCCTTAGGACAAAAATGTGTTTGGTACTCACCGTTTTTGGAACTCATTGCGCCTTCCTGAACCAATTAACGCTGCGTACCGAGGTACCGTTGTAAATGATTTCAGTTTCCATTCGCTTTCTATTCCAGCTGGAGATGGGATGACCATCAAAGCGGAGCAGCCGCGCCTGTGCCCGGAAGAGTCGGCGAGGCCTCGGGAGATGCTCTTCCAGGGAGAGTCGCCTGCAGCAGCCGCTCTTGCCGTCCCTCCAGCAGCAGAAGGTTATGAGGCTCCTCGTGGGCCGCCCGTCAGCCCCACCAAATGTAGGCCGGGTAAATCTCTGGAGTTAGACAGTGAGCTGCAAAGCATCCTGGGCCCTTCTCAGGGCTCGGCCGAACGGCCCCATGGCTGCAGTGAGTGCGGCAAGATGTTTGGGGTGAAAAAGAGCCTCAAAGTCCACCAGCGCAGTCACCACGGCCAAGCCCGGCCGTACGAGTGCGCCGAGTGCCGCAAGAGCTTTAACTGCCATTCGGGATTGGTGCGGCATCAGATGACCCACCGGGGCGAACGCCCTTACAAGTGCGCCGAGTGCGGCAAGTGTTACAGCCGCAAGGAGCACCTGCAGAACCACCAGCGGCTGCACACGGGCGAGCGCCCGTTCCAATGTCCCGTCTGTGGGAAACGGTTCATCCGGAAGCAGAATCTGCTCAAGCACCAGCGCATTCACACGGGTGAACGCCCCTACCAGTGCGCTGAGTGCGGACGCAGCTTCCGCTACAAGGAGTCTCTCAAGGACCACCTGAGGACTCACAGTGCCGAGGCCTCGGCCCAGCGACTCCTGCCCGGGTTGGGGGGTGACGGTCTTACTTAGTGTCCTACAGCAGCGGGAGAGAGCCCAGCCTCTCAGCCCGGTCTAATTAAGCCCCCCCCCCCAGTACTCCCTCAGCAGCCCCCAGTCTTATGCCTTAATTTTTTCCTGGTGTGGAAAAACAGCTGGACAGATGGGCTGGAGTAGGCAGACTCAATTTGAGCAAGAATCTGTGCCAACTGCCATAACACCATTTCCGAGAAAGGACACGACAGCGTGCAGAGGCGACCTATAGCTACTTGCAACCAAGTACCACAAAAGTCTCACTCCTTTCAGCTGATGGTGAAGAATCATGCGCACGCACACACAAATGCCAGTACAAAAAGATCCCGGCCCTTTTGGGGAGAGGACAGACGGGTCTGAAAAGTTTTCTGACCCCCAGTTCCCTTCCTTCCTTCCTTCCCTCCTCTACTGGTGCACCTACATGGTACGTGCACATGCGCAGGATATTATTTCTTGCATGTAAGACACTAAAGCGGCCTCATTTTGCTGGGTGCACAAGGCATAGTGTGTCTCTTGTGCTTCTGTTGGATGCCGCCGGCTGCAGAGTTATACTTTCCCATCGGTTTCTGACAGAGTGACTCGCAACTTATAGCAGCAGAACTATAAGTTCTATAAGCAACTTATAGCAGCAGAAATGGATCCTGTGCTTTAAAAAAAAGATGTTTTTTTTTTTAGATGTACGGATGGAACCATTTATGCGGAAAACTTTACATTGTGTAACTCGCACTCCGTGGGACTTCTTGTTCGAGCCGCCAGTTGTTTCCTTTCTTTCTTTTCCTCTTCACTTCCTTTTCTGATTCCCATTTATTGTGAGTGCAGGAAAATCTTTCGAATTTTCAAATGAAATCTTGTAGGTCTGACCTGCAGCAACCGTATTAATTTGATCTCCCTGGGGTCTCTCCTCTGCTGCTTTTAAGATTTTAAAACTTCCTTTTATCTCATAAAATGTGGGCCGTCTCGTTTTATTTTTTAAACGAACAATATATTTATAGCCCACACAGAGAAATGTTCTTTTCAGGATGTAGTTTTGTATTGAAGGTGCATTGCAAATAAAGACAAATTACCAAAAAAATAGAGTAAATTGCATTTTTTTGTTCATTCCCTTCGGAGATGTTTGCAGATAGATATGAACACAAAGGCTGACAAATAATGCATTTACAGGTAGTCCTCGACTTACGGCAATTTATTCAGTGACCACTTAAACAGCACCGAAAAAAGGGATTTAGGACCATTTTTCACACTTCTGACTGTTGTAGGATCCCCATGGTCATGTGATCAAAATTCGGGTGCTTGGCAACTGACTCAAACTTATGACAGTTGCAGTGTCCTATGGTCTCATAATCTGTTTTTGCGACCTGACAAAGTCAACAGGGAAGCCACATTTGCTTAACGGCCAAGTGACTCAATCATTGTAATGCTTCACTTAGGGATGGCAAGAAAGGTTGTAAAATAGGGCAAAACTCATTTAACCAACGTCTCACTTAGCAACGTCTCAATTATAGTTGGTGTTGACTCTAGTGACCACATAGCTTCTAGTTGCCCTCTTCTCTTTCTTTCTATCCTCTCCAGGGTCATGCAGTTTTCCAGAAACTGGACACTCTATATTAATGACTATGTTTCATCGCATCAGTTTTAATTCTTCATGACCACAAAGGTAGATCTTCCCCATGGCAATCTCTCCTAACCTGGTCTTTCAGATCTTCTAATGATGCCCTCACTGTCACTCTGGGGGTATCTAAAAAAAGATTGTTTGAGTTGAGTCATTTGCCATGAGCCTTCCCCAGCACCAAAATTCTTCCTTCCTGTTCATCTTTCTCTTCCGTCACAGGGTATACCATGTCTTCTGTTATTTTGTTATATAGGACATATGGCACCTGACTCTCTTTTCCAAGGCATTCATGGCTGTTCTACCGAGGGCTAGTCTTGGTAGAAGAGAGTATTTGTATCTCAGTGTTGAATTGTGGGATCCTTGGTGCTCTCTGAACTCAATTATTTTCTTGCAGGCGTTTCATGACCCAACTAAGGAACATTATCAATGCTAGAAAGGAGGAGGAAGGTTGTGGGATCCTTAGTGCTCTCTGAGCTCAATTATTTTCTTGCAGACATTTCATGACCCAACTAAGGAACATTATCAGTGCTAGGAGGAGGAGGAGGAAGGTTGTGGGATCCTTGGTGCTCTCTGAGCTCAATTATTTTCTTGCAGACATTTCATGACCCAACTAAGGAACATTATCAATACTAGAAAGGAGGAGGAAGGTTGTGGGATCCTTGGTGCTCTCTGAGCTCAATTATTTTCTTGCAGACATTTCATGACCCAACTAAGGAACATTATCAGTGCTAGGAGGAGGAGGAGGAAGGTTGTGGGATCCTTGGTGCTCTCTGAGCTCAATTATTTTCTTGCAGGCGTTTCATGACCCCACTAGGGAACACCATCAGTGCTAGAAGGGAGGAGAGGTTGCAGGGAGGAGGAGGCAAAGGAGGAAAAGGAGAATGACTATGGGGGTCCCAGGTGCTCTCTGGGCTGGGTGCTTTTCTTGCAGAAGTTTCATGATACAACTAAGGGACATCGTCAGTGTTGATGGTTGATCTTGAAAGCTGATGCCAATGTCTGAGATGTTGGGGTTGCCACAAAATGGGTGTCAGGTACTGGGTGTTGGTATTAATGCGTATGAGTGGAGGATCAGGAAGGAGAGACAGCTGCAGCTGGATCAGAGACCATGAAGCCTGACCCTGAAAATGGTTGCTGGAGCACATCTGTAGGAGGTATGGGTGGGGTGTGCCAAGCCCTCATAGCCAGCTAGCCATCATAAGCCAGTAATGCTGGCTAGAAACCCTTCTGTTGTGTTCATCGAGCGTGGGGAGCTGAGAGACCAGTAAAAGCATTTGTTGGACCCCACAGCGAGGCCACTTTTGCTGGCCAAGCTGGGAACAGGGACAGGTTGACCGGCTGGCTGGGTTAAGTTATCCCCCACTCGGATAGCTTCATTGAGGCCCCGTTATTCCTCTGGCTGCCACGAATTTAACATTTAAATTCCTACGGCAATATTTAATTTGGGTTTCAAATATTTCCTATTTCCTCCTTAAAAAACATTTACTTCACGATTAAACCAGTACACCATTTTAGCCCTCTGATTTTTCTATTCTTGTTAGCCTCTGTCGAATGTAGTAGCTGGAGCAGGGAAGTTGCGCGCAGCCCAGCTGAACACCCACTTGTGGTCGATTAGCCAGAGAAGGCAGACTCACGCCTGAGGCAATCTGCGCTGTGATTGGTCGCCGTCCGTAAAAAGGGTTGCCCCCTTTTTTCCCGCCTTTTTTTCTTCTGCGCGTTCTCTGCACTCTTTAATTTGCCTCATGAAGTTCGTTTTTCTTTCATTCTGGATGGCTGCTGGCTTGAATGTTAAATATACACACCAGTGGATGCCCTATACACTATTGTATTATACATACATATGTACATGTATACCTAAGCATAACCTACATAAACTGGTTGGAATAGCGCCCCCCCCCCCGCCCCCTCCAGCTCAGGGTTCAAAAAAATCTTGACAGACTTGAACAATGGGCCCCACCCAACAAAACGAAATCGAATGTGGAGAAAACCAACATTTTACACCTAGACAGGAATTGGGTCTGGCTAACCTAGAGAAAGGAAGGAGTAGGGGTGACATGATAGTATTTCAATATTTGAGGGGCTGCACCAAAGAAGTGGGAGTCAAACTATTCTCCCAAGCACCGGAAGGCAGGACAAGAAACAATGGATGGAAACTAACCAAGGAGAGAAGCAACCGGGAATTAAGGAGAAACTTCCTAAAACTTAGAATAATTAACCAGTGGAACAGCTGGCCACCAGAAATCATGGGTGCTTCATATCGCTGGAGGTTTTTAAGAAGAGTCTGGACAGTCACTTATCTGAAATAGTATAGGTTCTCCTGCTTGAGCAGGGGGCTGGACTAGAAGACCTCTAAGGTCCTATTCTATTCTGTTCTATATACATTATACATATGTGTACATTACACATAATTATACATATACATACATAGGTACATGTGTAATATATGTGTGTGTTGCAGAAATTTGTATCAGTAGTATTTGATTAGTGTTTAATATTCAACAGACGTTCATTAACAATATTTGATACAGCAAATAGATAAATATACATAATATTTAATAGGCAAGATTAATTTTATTAACTTTGGATGAATAAGTAATTATTTCATGTGCTAATTTGTATTGCTTAATCGATATTTAATAATATTTAATAATATTTAATAGGCAAGTGCATTAATATTCAATAGATAATGGGTAATAGATAAATATTAATAAAGTTTAATTTTCTTGATTTTTGACAATATAAATTATTTCGTGTATTAATTTGTATTAGGACCATTTAATCGATAATGTTTAATAATATTTAACAGGCAGGTTCATTAATATTGAATAGATAACGGGTAATAGATAAATAATATTACAAATGTAATAGATAAATATTAATAATATTGAATAGATAAGGGGTAATAAATAAATGTTATCAATACTATTGAATAGATACGTTTAATAAATACTAGATACAAAGTGTTTATTGGATAACGGTGCGCCCAGCCAAGCCTCCAGATTCCCTTGACCCGGGTCGCAAAAAAAAGGAGCCACCTGCACGTCGGGACGCGGACACGTGTTGCAACGGGAAACGGGGAGGCGCGTGTTCGTGAGGGGTGGGGTGGGGGGTGGGTGGGGGCGGTCTCGCCGGCAGCGGCTTCTTTCCGGCTCCGGGCTGGGAGTTATAAATTGCGATTGAAACCCACCCGGGAGGTTTCACCGTGAGCGTCACGCCGGGCAGCCTCCGTCCTTCCCACCGCGCGAGGTCCAGCTCGGAGCGCCGGAGAGCCGTCGGGATGGCCGATAGAGCAGCAGCCGCCGCCGCCTCCGAGCGAGCCCAGGGAGAGGTAGGTGGGCGAATTGCCGGTCGGCGTTCCCGCTTCAACGGGGTTCCCTCTTGCCCACGGACCCGCCTGGGAGTCGCAAAGACTGCAACGCGGGGAGTTCCGACTTCTGACTTTCCCTCCTCTCTGGCCGTTTCCCCATCCTCGGGGGGGGGGGGGGCCGCACCTTGGGAAGGGAAGGGTCCTGCCGCTCGGGTGGGGACAGCCGGGATGGGAGACCACCAGATGATGGCTTAGCCCGGCAAGGAGTCAAGCTGGGGAAGAGGGTCTTTGCAGAGACCGTCTGAAGAGTCGGGCCAAAATCTTGGAACCCCTACTCGAAGGCTTACTCTTAGTAGCTACAAGTGCGAGGCTGAACTTGAACTTTCATTTATGCTACGTTTTTAAATTACTTTACACTTTATGTATTTTACTTTTTAAAATCCCCCCCCCCCCCCCCCCCCCTCCCTTTAAGCCCTCCCTGGGCCGCTTCAAGATTAATTCCTTGGTTTTTAAATTTATTTGTCTTCAACTCTGGGTGGCTCACTATTCAAATAAGCCATTACAAGAAATTTCTACATTCTTTCTACCTTTCAATCTTTGCTAAATTGTTTTTGCCGCCTGTTTCCTATAAGGTAACTCTGGGAGGGTTAGAAATGATTGGTTTACTCTTAGTCCTCAGCAGTGGAGCAGTAAGCCCAACATTGACATTGCTCAAGTGAGACTGATGTTAGTTGAATCTTTGCATCCTCATTTTAACACCGCCCCCCACTTGCACAGGTGTTAAGTAAATTCCTGTAGTTAAGTTACAACGGTTGTTGAGTAAACCTGGTTTAGGCATTGAGTTTTCTCGCTGGAAGGTTGCAAAAAGGATTCATCGAGGTTGTGACTGGCATAACTGAGTTGGTTGCCAAGTATCCCAAATTTTGATCATGTGACCATGTACTTTTTACTTAACCTTCAGTTTAATTTTAATTTTTACTTTTAGTTTCACTTTTTTAAAAGTAATTTTAAGCCATCCTTGTGCCTCTACAATTATTATTAATTGTTATCTCTATAATTATTATTGTCAGAGTACAACATGTATACAATGAGATTGGCTGAGCCTCCCTTCAAATGACCCTGGGCAACTTATTATTACTTTTACAGTCTATATTTAGTTTTGCTAAAATAAATTATTGAATTAAATTTCTATCCCACCCATGTTGCTGTAGTTTTCCTCCACTTAACCACGAAGAAGTCCAACATTTCCCTTGCCAACAAGATGATGGTTAGTAGAGTAGAATTCTTTATTGGCCAGGTGTGATTGGACACACAAGGAATTTGTCTTGGTGCAGATACTCTCAGTGTTCCTAAAAGAAAAGATACAACCATTAAATAAGTCTTGCCTCATTATACAACCTTTCTGGACACAGTTGTTGTGAAATGCAATTGTTAAGTTACTGACATGATTGTTAAGTAAAACTGTTTATCCCACTGACTTTTTGCAAAAGGAAATCATGTGACCCCAGGACACTGCAGTGGTCAATAAGTGGGGAAAATGGTCACAAGTCCCCTTTTTCAATGCTGTTGTAACTTTGAATGAGCTGTTTGTAAGCCAAGGGCAGGGATGACAGTATGGTCCCAAATCACCTTTTTTTAGTGATGTTGGAACTGGGAACAGTCACTAAAAGAATGGCTGTAATTTGAAGAGTCACATTTGGCTTTTGAAATATGCCAGCTTTGAAAAAGCCCAGTGGGATTTGATGTCTAAACTCAATTTTGTTATGACTTAAATTGTGATCAGGCACCATGTCCCAATGTTTCCATAGAAAATTGTCCAGTTTTATAGATTAAGCTTTGCTTTTTGGCTCTTCAGCTTTGTAGGTTTGAATGTCAGATAAATTAGCCTATTTGTTGATTTTTCTTATTTCCGGTGTTTAGTTCCTTTTTTGTTTTCAAAAGACAAGGCGGGTGTAAAGTGATTACAACTTTGGGAGAAGGTTAGTTTTTGCATCTGGCGCTGACAGGATGTCAACAATTCTGGCTGTGTAATTAAAAGTTTTTGAGTCCCAGAAAAATTTGCGCTCTCGTGAGCCCTGTAGGATAAATCCAAGCAATTTGAAGACCTGGTGGACAACTTTTATGGCTTTGTCCCCAAAATAATTTATTTTAAGTGGTTCTCTCAATGCATCGGATCTATTTGTATGGGCTCAAGTGGAAATAAATCTGGTCCTTGATTTACAGCCATAACCAAGTTGAATTTCTCTTACCAAGCAAAGCTGGTAAGTGAGGAGCACTCAGTTTTACTGCCTATTTTGCTATTGTTGTTAAATGAATCACTTGGTCCTTAAGCGAATCCCCCCTCCCAATTGGCTTCGTTGGTTGGAAGCTGGCTAGCGAGGTCGCAAATAGTCATCACGTGACCCCAGGAAGCTGCAGCTTATTTACGACTAGAATGGAGTCCAAAATTTCTGTTGCTAAGTGAGACCTTTGTTAAGGGTCTCTTGTTCCACTTTGCGACCTTTCTTGCTGCAGTTGCTAAGTTAGTAACACAGTAGTTAAATGAAACCGGCTTCCCCTTTGACTCTGCTTGTCAGAAGGTTGCAAAAGCGAATCCCATGATCCCAAGACAACGGCAACTGTCATAAGCCAGCGGCCAAGTGCCTGAACATTGATCCCCGGATATATAAATATTCATGCCAGTTGCCAAGCATTCGAATTTTGGAGATTCTGTGATGGTTGTATGTGTGAGGATTAGGCCTAAGCCACTTGTTTCTGTGGCACCGTAACTTTGAATCGTGGCTAATCGAATGGTGGTAAGTCAGGGACTCTTAAAATTTTGTACTGCCGAGCATAATCGGGCTGGGGGAATCTGGGAGTTGAATCCACAAGTGTTGCCAAGTTTGGGGATCCCTGGGCTAGACCGAGGCTTGAGTTTGCGCAACAACCTATTGCCAACTAACCACCTCTTAAAAGGTATGTCCCGTGAACCCTCCTGCGGGCCACTTGGCAAGGAAGCAGAGCGGATGCTTTGTTCTGTGCCATCAGCCCCCTGAACCCGGGTTTCAACCTTTGCATGTGTGAAGGGACCCCAAGGGTCGCCCTGGAGCTGATGAGGTTTCAGCATAACTGACTTAAACTTATCTTTGAAGACCGGATCTTGACTCTCCCCTCACCCCGCCACAAGTCTCCATCCTCATTCCCCCCCCCTTCCCCCCTACCCCCCAAAATCAGGTAGGGGAATCTACTTGCTTGTTTTTTTTCTCCCATGCAAACTTTCTCCATGGAGGGGTCGACAGTGATCAGTTTCAAGGACGTCATCGTGTTCTTTTCACCAGAAGAATGGCAAGTGCTGAGTACTGAAGAAAAACAGCTCTACTGGGAGATGTTGAAGGAAAACTACCAATCTCTGGTCTTCATTGGTGAGTGGGGCGATACGGGGCTTGGGGTGGCCGGACTGCGGGATGCGGGTTGAACTCGAGGCTGACAGGCTGGTCTATAGAAGCGTGAGAACTTGGTTCGAGTCCTGCTCAGCCACAGGAGAGGCTCCTAGGAAGGACTTCCTCCCTCTTGGGCCAGCCTGCCTGGCAGGGTTGTTGTTTGGAGGGGGGTGAAGAGGAACGGAAAAAAAAAAAAAAAAACCCTGATGAGAGGCAGGGTTGAAAGGTAACCAACAGGGGTCTCCAGCCTT